CTAGACTAGTGCTCCCAAACTGTACATACTGATGGTGGCTTGCTGCGGCACGGCACGGTAATGGGGCAATGAACAGCAGTCCACAGTCCTTCAAAATTGGCACTCCCGAGTGATCGCGTGTTCGCAACACACAACTGCGACTACCCAACAACGCAAGGAGCGCCTAGTATGGAGATACCGCAGAGACCGTATGACACTATAGCAATACGGGTCTCTTCCTCTGACGGGTACCAGTATTGTAGATCCATCAAGGGACTGGCTTAGTAAGGTAATACGGTACGTACAGCTTCTTGTAGCGCCGTTTCAGGTTGCTGCTGCCGCGTTGCCCTATGGACGGATTATTTTTGAGCGCGAGTTGAGTGAGATTTCACCTACAGTAACTGAGTACGATAATATCGAAAAGACAGCGTGGGCGAGAGAGAGTTGATTGTGCAGTGGCGATATCAATAGCTTCAACGACTTCTATGAAAATTTCCTTGGGACATCATCGCTGGCAAGAACTTCTTCCGAATGTAAGCTTCTACCCGTACCGTATATTCAAGGACGGGAGCAGTGCGGCTTCATTCGAATCGAATCCGATTGGAAACGACGATTTACACGTCATAGTAGGGCTCATCCAAATCCGGGGCACTCGTCCCAAAAAGACATTGGCAGACACACGGATGCCCGAAGCACACTGAATAAGTGTAATCCTTATAGAGTATGGAAAGGAAGATGGCTCTCTTTGCCTGTGCCGCAGAATGCTACGGTATGCTGGATCATCCATTGAGTTCGAGGGTGATCTGGGCCACCAAGCCATTTGACAAAAACCATACACTCGGTGCCATGGTACGTGGCTTGATCCTCCTCTATCTCGCGAGGAGCAACAATGCCACGCATGATGGTTCTGCCGCCGAAGAAGGCTCTGGTCCAAGCAAGGAACAACTACCCGTCACGTACCGTATCCAGTCCTATCTACAGCAGCAGTGTTTTCTTTGACGGTTTTGTCGGTATAACCAGGACTTTGGGCCGAACCAAAGCTGTACGTGAGTGGTGGCATAAGGCTATAGCTGTTAGTGCTACTACTGCTTTGCAGAGGGTCGCTTTCCGTGCATAGCATCATGCATTGAGAACGTGCCCACCAAGGACACCGCTACCGGCACCGTTCGCACTCTTTCTAAGCGTGGTACTTTTGACAAAACTACAGGACGGTCGTGACTTTGATTGTCGCATTGTGTGGTGTATGAACAAGTGCCTGCGGTCTGATCCCCACAATGCTACATTGGCACTGAACTAGTATTACAGGAAAGTTTCAGGCCTCAAAGTATGTTTACATCACCAAAACCCAACAACAATCCAAGAAGATCCTTCATGGGACACACTGAAACAAGCACAAGATGCCATTGGATGGCATCATCTGTTAAAGGGGAGAATCTCTAAACAATTCAGTCAGGAACAAGACCGATATTTGCACATGAAAAAGACCGCAACCAAACGCAACAATGGACTCACATGGCTCACTGGACTTATTGACATTATCAAAAAAGAATGGTGGAAACTCTGGGACATGCGCAACCAAGACAGACATGGGCACAACATGAGAACCAAGTCACAAGCAAAGAAAGCACAAGCAATCCGACAACTCACTCAGTTCTAGGAAGCATACCAGCATGTAAGTCCCCGAACATTTGGAATGACTATTCCAGATACCACTCGAATCGCGCGTGCAACTGAATACACCAGTCATCATTCAATTTTTGAACACATGGGAACCTGTGTTACAAGAGAGTCACTACACCACAGCCCTGGAAACAGGATAGTCAGACATTCCTACCATCCCTTTTCCTTATACCCCTCCTACCCCCTTCAAACTTCTTTATCAACCCCAACTCTCTTCAACAAAGAGCTCATGATTTGTGGTGAATCATGGCTCCGACCTCAGTGTACAAATCCTTTTAGATAGCTAACAGGCGTCGCACCCTCTCAAGAGGCCAGTGTGGCCGGTGAGCAGACTTGACTGTGGGAAATACCCGGGCCTCGGCTCGTGGGTCGTCCTCAAGCACATCTCGTCTGAATCCGTTATTAGACGTTCAGTTTTAAAAAAAATAGTATTACAGGAAAGTTATGATGGGTTAGAGGGAACTATGATGAGGATGGGGTGCAGAGAAGAGAGGGCAGGATGCAGGAACGCAAGGCAGGCAATCAAGTGCGCAAGCAGGGCAACATCGAAACCAAGGAGAGGGGGAAGGTATGAGGGCAGGAGGGCAGGGAGGAGCAAAGGAGGAACTAGCAGTAGAAAGAATGTAAACTTTTACAAATAAGCCAGCGGAGCTGTGTAACCTCGGCAGAAAGGTTTCAGTGTAGAAGCAGATACCCCTATAGCTAGCTAACTAGAAGCAGATACCTCTAGTGATTAGCTAGTGCTTAACTTGTGCTTAGCTAGCTAGAAGCAAGTCCCCCCTAGTTAGAAGCAGATTCCCATAGCAAGCTAGAAGCAAACACCCCTAGCTAGCTAGAATACTAGTTATATAGCTTTCACTGGCTTCAGAGTTTTTCCTGGTAGGAGCAGATCCCCCTACTGGGATGGATGTAAGTAGCTTTAGCTGGTTTGCACCATCCTAGCTAGGATACTTATTTAGTTTTTGCTGACTTATTTGTATTCTAACCCTACCCTTATACCTGCAGGGACCACCGTAGCAGGAAAAACAATTAAAGGGGTTCAGGGCTCTGGCAGCAAGACTGCCGAGGTTAAAAGGAATGAATGACTGCAGGACTTTGGATTTCACCAACAGAGACTCAATTGAAACACCCCAACAATCATTCGAAAACACATCAATTGAACAAAAAACCTTCCAAATAGGTGACTGCACCCTGCCACCAAGCATATGCTCTACTAACAACACTGGCCTGTGTGGGGCTTCCACCAGTGCCCAGGTTGCCAACTTGCGGCAAAGGATTCAGGATAGGAGAAAATGTGGGAAAGTCAGTTTGTCCCCACATTTGGACAAGTCCATTATTTAGAGCTGAAGGGTCATCATAACCAGCTGCTCCAACAAGGACTTTTGTCCCATCGCCAGAAATAGCAACACTCTGTCCCAACCTATCACCTTCCCTAATTCCGTCAATACCAAAACCTTGGGCCCTGCTAATCTCTTCAAGGACCCAATCAGTGCCATCGAACTTGTAGATGCGAGCATAACCACGTCTAGTTACTGTTGAGCCACCAAAAACGCTATTAGATCCAGCCACAAGGGTTTTGCCATCATCCGATAAATCAATGGACGACCCAAATGCATCCTCTTGTTCGTCCCCAATAAGATCACTATGTACGGTATGTATCACAAGCCACAGGGGACATAGTCAGTAATCCAAAAAAGTTGCATGCACATTTCACAGTCACCAATGCTTACTTTCCCAATTGGACCCATAATTGTTGAGACCTTTGAAAGACTTGCACCCTGCCTACTTCAAAAGCCTCAAGCACATCAAACCCAGGAGAACCAACTGCAATGATGCTTCCATCATAGTTTAGAGCCACGGACCAACCAAAATAGTCATCAAGAGTGGATCCAAACATCGCTCCACCAGCAATCGTAAATTGTTGGATTTCGCCAAAACTGTTGTAAACACGGCATTCACCAAATTTTGTGGAGTCAGAATCAGAGGATCCAGATCCGGGCATTCCAACAGCAAACCAGTTGCCATCTCCAGAGTATGAAACAGAAAACCCCAACCGTGTAGCTACCCTTTCTCCATACAGTCCAGAAACAGTGGAGAAACCATCTCCATAATATGTCTCACGACCCCAGTCACCATCACCAAACCTGTTCCAGAAGTAGGTTGTTGCAAACCCAATGTTGCCTGCGGTTGGGCTATTGTATTGCCAAGCCCCAACTGCGACTTTGTCTCCATCTGCTGACAGAGAAATGTCATAACCAAAGGAATTGATTTGCGAGCCATTCAGATCAACACCTTGAATTGTATTGCCTCTTTTCAACCACCTTGCTGTGCTGATGTCATATTGGAACACCACAACAACTTCATTGGTGATAGAGCTGACAGCAACAGTGCTGCCATCTCTTGATATTGCAACTGTACGACCTTTATAGAAAGTAGAGCCAGGAAAGCCCGTCAAGTCTTGACCTTTCTGGGTCCATCCGTTGGCAGCATTCTCGTAGACATGAACAGATCCAGTTGCAGCTTCACGGACCACTACTGTTGCCCCTGTTTCATCTATGTCCACAGAATCTCCGAAAAGTCCTCCATTGGAATCTCCTATAAGATTTCCTCCAAATATGACATAGCCGCTGATGGGAGCCAACCGACGATGCTGCTTAATGTTTTCCACATTCAGATCAATGATTTCAAATGCATACTTCTGAGGTTCACTGTTACCAGTACCATCCGCGTACGTCAAGAGAATAGCTGCAAGGACACACGGCAAGATATTGAAAATCCACAACATGGTGGACAAGGTTGACAAAACAAAAAAAATAGTAACTTTGAATGCTACGGTATGTGCTTGAGATTCACTGCAGGCGAAGAGCGACGTGTCAGCGAGCAGCGGCAGTTCAACGTTGCTCTGCAGCTCGTACATTTAGCCATGCATGCAGTCATGCATTGAGCGACACTCAAAACATAGAAAGGTGCTCCATGACAAACTCATTGTGATCGAGTGACGAGTCGAGCGACAGTCAAGTCTTGTCGAGTCCAGTCCAAGTTAAGCTGTGCTGCTAGCTAGCTAGTCCAATCTAGCTAGCTAGCTAGTCCAATATAGCTAGCTCCAACGTCACCGGCGGAGCATGAGAGCGGAGCAGGTCTTTTAGGGAGATTAAGTATCAGGTCGACCTGCAAGGTGCTGCATGAGGTCAAGTTACTGTCCTAGCTGGTAGTGATAGCCATGCAAGTAGTCCACTTACGAGCAAGGTGCCTGCTAAGTGATTACTATACAGTACAAAACTCCTTTATAGTACATTAGCTAGTAGTACGCAGTCCAAAGTGCCAATGCTGCAAAGACTACACTACGACGACTCGGTGGTGGTGGCCTTGCGTTTGTCGTTACTGGTACTGGCAGCCGCCGTTGTCGTCTCCTTGGGCGGCAACAAGCCACACGATTCCATTTCGTGTCGTTGCTTCCGATTGACTTCCGCGCCGACATGATAGAGTCGTTGCAACGCCCCAAACTCGGGACATGCCGCCAAGAACTGTCGTTGAAATGCTGGCGTTTGATATATTTTACGACAGCGTTCGTACTCGTCTTGATGTGCCGTGGAATGTTTGGAGCCCGTCACGTGCGGATTGAGCGACGTATCCATGTACGCCGCACGGGCTGTAATCATATCGTAGAACGATTGTGTTTCGTGGAGTAATCCGACGACAGCAAACGAATGCTGCAGATTGTGTCGGGCCTGTGTTTCAATTTGATCGAGGGTCAAGAGTCCGGCTTCTTGTCGTACGACGCACTCTTCGCCACACAAATGATTGATTTGTTTGAGAGCGGCAGGCGCCGCCCATTGCGCCATGTGTTCAAAATCGGTCATGTTATTGGCATCACACGTATCCAAATACACCCATTTCTTGTCAGCGCCTCGTAATTTTCCATCGTGCCAAAAGTACTTGGAAACGAGCCACGAGAACGGTTCTCGCATCATGGTGATGCGCAAGACGGGTAAGGACGCATAGACGGGAGACCAATCCTGAATAAGGGACGTCGTCGGCGAGTCCTTTTGTGATAGTACTCGATGTGCGGTTTGGTCAACGACGTGTTCGTGAGGCGCCACACAATCAAAGTACTGTTCCTTGTAATGATGAAAGGGATGTTTTTGTTCGTAATGACACGCGCTTCCAGGTTGGTTCCATCGCGATGCTCGTTGTCCCCACAAGTCCTTGCCATTGCTAATAGCAGTGTCAGTAGTATGACTGTGACGAGCCCACGTGGTGGAATTCCACCACTGTTGTAAAAACGGCGTGGGCAACCAATGAAGTTCATTCCCCAGTAGATTGTGTCCGGCATAGACGACATTGCACCGCTCCGTATTGCAGGACGGAATGACTTGTTGTCCCAAACGGGTGAGTGGACATGCCACGGCTTGTCCCAATGGAGTAGTGGCATTGCACGGCAATGTCTTTTCGTACGTTTTCCAGACTTTATCGGCTTTATTGAGTTTTTTGTCACTGGGACGTGTGGCAGGGTACGATGGTCGAAAATTGTGAAATCCCGAATTGACAAAGATTCCCTTGTGCAGAATTTCCAGTTGGGACGCCCGTCGTGTCGCTGTTGTGGTCGTGTTGAAAGTCTTGATTGTCATGACTTGAGCGGCAATGTGTTTCCATTCCATCATTGGATAGTAATACGACGCATCATTACGAGTATTGCTCCATTTTTCGCGACTGTAATCGACGGCAGAAGCGGCCAATCGAGCTCGGATACTTCCTCCGCCGCATTTGCCCAAATGAACAAAAATCAACGGCGCTTCTTGTCGTCGATCACAACCCCATTTGCGTACTTCTAAGACTTCAGGATTGGTGCCATTGTACAGCAGGTCGTTTTCAGTGGGATCAAACAAATAGGCTGCCGTTGTTCTTGTGGTGGTGCTGGTGGTGGTGGTGGTGGACGACCGTTGCAGTTTCTGCAGATTCTGGAGACTCTTGGTGGCGCGCCCTGTCTTACTACTACTATTGCTTTCGTTATTGGAGGCTTCAGTAGTGGTATCATCCTCCAATAACCATTGGCCGACTTGCGACAACGTGCGTGCATCCGTCTCATTATTATTATTATTCAACGGCGGATAATCGTACTTGTCAAAGAATTCAGTGCGACTCATTTGGCGCATTTTTTTTCGTAACAACTGTTGTCGTAGTTCATCCACTCGTTCGGCCGTTTTGGCGCCACCGCTCTTGCCACGCCATAGCATGCCTTGAAAGGATTCCAATTGGACCGTTGCCGCAATCACAAAGAAACATCCCGTAATGCCCAATACCCAATGGCGTTTGGTTTTACTCGTAGTTGTACTAGTAGTAGTAGTTGTACTACTAGTACCGGTAGTACTGCTTGCATGGGAACGAGAAGAGGATGATGTGGACGAAAGAATAGGAAGCGGTCGAAGCATACTAGTAGTACTAGTACTAGTAGTATTCTTGGGTAGCATAATAGATAGATAGACTGATAGATAGATATGTAAGTGAAATGGCTGTTGTTTTCTAAAGGAAACGAAAATGTCGTTGCTTGCTGCATCCATGCATGGCTCTAATGGCAATTGAGGATCTGTTCCATCCACGCGCTGCTTCCATCTCAATTGCTGCTCCAAAAATTGCGCCATTTCGGATGCGTTGGCGCACCCCGCGGGGTCCTCCTCTAACATTCACTCTGTTTTTAACCGTTCGACCATTATGTAAGTGCCAATCCACTCATTAGCTCAGACTTGGATAACTACGGTACGGTACGCTAGCAAGTCAAATAAAGCAGCAAGCCTACAATTTGAAGATGAAGCCTTATTAGTTGGCTGTTCCGGTTGGGAAGACACGAGATGCATCCTTCACTCCGTATTGGTCGTACTGTACTGTAGCAAGCACTGGGACTTTGTTCGGCACGGCAAAACTTGACACCACTAAAGCAAACCGAAGCCCGCCATCGATCGGTACCATAGAAACAAGGCATTTCCATTCAGCTGCCATCCTTCGGTTTCTTCTAACTAGATCTATTCGTGGGAAACCAAGTGTTGCTGCGGGTCATGGTCAACTGGAAGAAACGCCAAGCTCGTCTTCGCTTCATTCCAGCATTCGCTCCTCTACCAGTACTTGCTACGGTACGAGTTACGGTAGTAGTCCTGGCTGTCTGTGCGGGTATAGTGTTCTGGTTGAGTTTATTGAGGCAGTGAGGCAACCATCCATCCTGCCACTGCAATCTCACCCATCAACCAATCTATTTTTAACGGTTCCACCATCGGTGACTTTTATCACTCAGACGTGGATACCGCTACTAGCCGAGCAAATAAAGCAGCAAGCCTGCAAATGTTCGATATCCGGAGCAGTATTACATCTACTGTACCATCACCTTGGCAGCTTCAGACATGCAAAATGGACTAAAGAGAGGGTTTGGAATGAGCGAGGGGGCTACCGGTACCACCATCTATCTAGCTAGCTCATGCTAGCTAGCTACATGTACCGTAGTAGGCAGAGCAATGGATGCAAAGCCGAAACAACGCAAGTCAGCACAGAAAACTGGAGTCGAATCGAATCGAATCGAATCAATCCCTTTCAGTCGCCCCTTCGCTCCAAAGGAGCGACCCACCGTCGGGCCTCTCGTCTTTGGTGCTGGGCCAATGCAGTACTTGTCGCACCGGTTGTTACGTGCGGAAGCATACCTAATAGCCAAAATAAAAAGGATGAGACAAAGAACCATTGCGCACCTACCAGAGCAAACATTATTTAATACATGTAATACTTTGCTCAGTACAGCTACCAGTACAGCTGATAAATAGCTAATAGAGAGTGAGGTACCGCGGAGAATTTTGTGTCAGACAAAGAACCAGTCGCTGACCATCGTGCCATCGTGTGATTGGTATCCGTACTGCGTTTTATTAAAAAGTTCACCAAAAACTTCAAAAAAGGTAAGATAATGGGCTGCATGGAACTCCAGCAGAGACGTGACATCCAAAAGAGATTCCTGTTAAATTTCCGAGTTCACCGAAGGACTTGACTCACATATCCCATACATGTGTGAAAGGTCACCAAAAATCACACTGTAAAAGCAAGTTCGCTCTGGTGCCATCCAAGACCGTGCGGAAGGCCATCAATATCAAAAGCAGGTTCGACTTTTTCGTGTGGCTCCTTCCTGTGACAGGGGGTAGAGAGCACTACATACAGCCTGGGCATATGAACAGGAAGGATGCCCGCAGATTGAGAGCAAGGCCAGCCATTTTTTTGGCCTGAATTCAAAAACGTCCAATTTCCTGTGCAATCGAACAGGATAGCGACGCCTGTTCAATTGCACAGGAAATGGACGGCCTGTGCAATCGAACAGGATAGCGGCGCCTGTTCAATTGCACAGGAAATGGACGGCCTGCCTGTTCATATGTACAGGAGGCTGTACATACCAGGAGCTCGACGTCCTGTTCAAATGCACAGGAATTGTGACATTGTTTTCTGGGTAGGCTTTTACAGTAACACATAGATCTGCCATTACATTCAGCATTACAGTCAAGCATGTCCTCTGCAAAGAATAGATGGTTGCAACTTCCTGTGTTTTCCTCTTCTCAGATAATGAAAAAGAATCCGGAGAAATGAAGTCCAAATCTCTCAGTGACAAACCCACAAATGAATGCAAGAGCCAGATATGACAGTGGTAGTAGTGGTGGTAGTAGTAGTGAAAGGATCAGTTGTTCTTGTTCTTATGCTTATTAAGCTCCTGTGCAATTGCAAAGGCGCTTGTGCAATTGAACAGGAGGTCGGATCCTGTACAATTGCACAGGAATCGCGTCGATCCTGTACAATTGCACAGGAATCGCATCCGTCCTGTACAATTGCACAGGAATCACGTCGCCTGTTCAATTGCACAGGAATCGGGTCGCCTGTCAGGCCAAAATTTGACTGCAGGCTGGCTCTCTAAAAATCCTGTTCATATGCACAGGCTGTATGTAGTGCTCTCTACCCCCTGTCGCAAACTACTCAACTTTTATTGCCTCTCTTGGGCCTTCCAGCCCCACAATACCTCGCCGCGGTCCCTTTTCAAAATTCTCAATCAGTCTCATCAAACGTTGTCCACATCGTCCTATACGTAGCCGTGCCTCATAAGGAAACGAAACCAACAGATACCACCAACTGCAAAGAATGAAGTTCTCAACTATCCTAGAAGCCCTCAACCATCATGCTGTGGAGACTCCTGACCAGGTCGTCTTCACTTGGGTTGACATCAAGTGTGTGGAAGAAAACAAGATGACTTTCAAGCAGCTGGAAGACCAATCCAATGCCGTGTCGGATCGTCTGCTCAAGCTTGGATGCCAAAAGGGCGACCGAGTCATGGTTGCCTATCTCTTTGGCCTAGAGTTCTTGGCTGCCATGTTCGGTGCCATGAAGATTGGAGTTATCCCTTGCTCCATCTATCCGCCCAATCCCACGCAGCTCAAGACGGATATGCCAAAGTTCCGTGGATTTGCCAAGGATGCAGGAGCCAAGTATGCTCTCTCGACTAACGTGTTTGCTGCTGGCATGACTGCTGCTAGCGTCCTTTACAAGACTGGAGTGAAGTGGATTGGAACAGATAAGATGTCAATCAAGAGGATCAACCCCAAGAAACCTAAAAACTTCGAGCAATTTGTGGGAGAACCGGAAGCTATCTGCTTCATCCAATACACATCTGGAAGCACTGGGGATCCCAAAGGAGTTATGATCACTCACAACAATCTAGTTGAGACATGCAGGGCTGGCATTTCCTTGACTGATCTAAACAATGCTTCTGTGGCAGCTCTTTGGGTCCCTCAATATCACGGTAAGCTTGGCTCATGGTTCGTGACTTGCTGCTACCATGACCTTTCATTCATCTTCTAGTTTTACTCCTCCCATTTTATTGCTCCTCGTTAATTTACAGACATGGGACTTACAGGATTTATGTCATGCCTCTACACTGGAAGCCAACTGATTGTGGCATCACCACTAGACTTTATTGCCAAACCACTGCTGTGGACTGATATGGTGGAGAAATACAAAGCGACCCATACATCAGCACCCAACTTCGCCTATGCCCTGCTCCTCAAACGGTTGGAGCAAGCCAACAGAAAATCCCACTGGAGTTGCATGAAGGCGGCGATGTTTGGTGGTGAACCAGCCCAAAGCCATGTTGTGGAAGCAGTGGCAAGGACCCTCTCCATCAAGCCTGAACAGGTCTACAATATCTATGGCATGGCTGAGATGGTGGTCTTTGTCACCGGGGGACCAGCCAAAACCGACTCCGAAGAAGGGCTTGTGTCTTGTGGCATAGTAGATTCCCCTAGCCTCAAGATTCGAATTGTGGATGATGGAAAAGAAGTTGAGGATGGACTGGTTGGGAGTATCTGGGCACAGTCACCACGGGTGGCAGCTGGGTATTATGGTCGGTCAGAGCTATCCAACTCTATGTTTGCCAATGCTTTGCCCAGCTATGATGGCAGCTGGTTGGACACGGGCGATTTGGGAAAGATTGTGGATGGACAGCTCTATGTGACTGGAAGAGTTAAAGATGTTATCATTGTGAATGGCAAAAACTACTACCCAACTGACGTGGAACTCTCCATTGATGAAACGTTTGGTGATATCATTCGCCCTGGAAGGACCACTGCCTTTCAGCATGGGGAGGATAGTGTTGGTATCACAGTGGAGGGCCGCAAGGACTTTGACAAGACAGCAAATGAATTCTTGGCAGTCCAGATAGCCAACCATGTCTCCCAAGTGCATGGTCTTTTTGTGTCTGAGGTAGTGGTCCTAAAATTGGGTGTGACACCCAAAACTACCTCTGGAAAGCTGAAGCGAAGTGAGATTAGGCAAACAACCATTGATGGCAATTGGAAGGAGTCTTCAATTTTTTTACATTTCAAGCCTCTTGGGCTTGTTGACAATGTGCCTGAGCTTGAGCTTCCTGGCATCGACCTTAACCAAACAAATGCCCTACCCAGCCAAGCTGTCGAAGCTGTTAATGCTGTAGAGTGCGATCCCAGCAAGTTGGATGAGTATTTCTTGGAACTTCATCTTTCTGGGGTCTCTGGCATGGATGAAGCTTGGTCCAAAGCCACCAAGACAACAGCGGCAATGCAAGAAATGTGCTCCCAAATCCTGCAGCATCTTGAGGACAAGCACCCAACCATCTGCCAGCTTGCTCACAGTCTCGTTGTGAATCCAGACTGGGTTTTAATTGACGACAGGACAGGTTTCCTTTTGCAGCTAGTGCACCAAACCTTTGTCCTTCAATGGGTGACAACCTTCATGATGGATCACCCTGAGTGCATGCAACAAAAGTTGCAGAACGATGCTGAGTGGGAAAACTTGTGCAAGACTCCTAACACAGTTCCAGTGGAGCTACAAGAGATGCTGAACCTTCCAGAACAAGACCCAATGTACGGGAGGTGGCCATTCTTCCTTTGGATCAAGAACAGGTCAGTCCGTGCAATACTGAAGCTAGTTATCAAAAGCCTGAGTAGTCCAGAAGAACAGCCTCTGGAAACACGAATTGGAACAATCAACAAACTTGTATGCCTCAATTTGTTGGAGGCTGTTTGGCTGGAACAACATCTTGGACACAAGGAAAATTCACAAGTTGGAAGGATACTGGCAGCCTCGCCCATTCAAGCAGCTTGGGCCCAATCCAACATGGCCTTTCTTGAGAATCAAAGTAGTACTTGGAATGATCTCTATGTTGCTTGGAACATGCATGTTGTAGCATGTAAGTTTGTTTGTTCCTCTGATGGCATGTAAATAGTACGAGTGCAAACTAACTGTTTCCCATTTCATTCTTTGATCCAGGGATTGGAGATGATTACTCTTCTACATGGACGGTATCCAAACTACTGCTGCCCTGCATTGTTGGAGATGTTGGTTCGAATTTCTTATATGCAAGGATGACTAGTCTTTATCTGGTTTTACATGCCGCAAGTAGGAAAATAGAGTCTCCAAGATTCTACAACAAGCCAATCTTGTCACGAAGAGCACTCCATCAGTTTGGAAAGCTGAACTTATCATTGGCTGAATGTTTCGGACACCGTGCACCCTCTCAGAACAGCAATGATGAAATGGTGATCAATGAAGAAAACTGGCTCTCAAAGTTTGACCAATGGGGATTCACAAGCAACCCAACTCAGACAACCACCAGTCAAGACTACAAGTTACACAATTCTACAAAACAAAGTGGATCTGCAAACCAGAATCACTTCTCCACTTGGTATGGTGAAGCTGTGGGCCCAGACAAAGTGTCTGCAACAATAACGTCCTTCTTTGGGTCGCATGTTGACACATCCAAGACTTGGGCTGAGAATGGACTGACATCTCTCAAGAGTGCTGAGCTGAGGAACAAGGTTGAAGAAGTGTTGCATGTGGTCCTTCCAGCCAACTTTGAACAGCTCTACCCAACACCGAGTGAGCTATCAGTCTTTTTGAAAGCATCAGAGAGTAAGAGCTTCCCCAAGCAAGACCCCTGCAGCCATTCTGAATTTCTTTGGAACTCAGAAATATCAAAGCTCAGCAAGCTAAAGCTAGGAGTACTCCAAACTCTTGGCGTCATTGTGATCCTTATCTTGCTCTTGAGCTCATTTGTGCCATCAATCTTTCTTGTTTCCTGGGTATTGGTGAAATGTGGCTCATCTCAAGTTGGAGGCTGCAATGGTCTGATCTCATGGGTGTTCTTGCCCATAACTTTCCCCCTATTCCTACTATCACTGTCAGTGATTTTAGTACTCTGCAAGTATGCTGTTGTTGGGACGTATGAACACAGGCAGATTGAAATCTTGTCGTGGGGTTATCTTCGCTGGTGGTTCATTGACAGGCTCATGGAGGTCTGGGAATCAACTGTGGGCAAATTCTTCAAACAAACAAAATACATTTGGCTTTTCTACAGGCTCCTTGGAGCAGATGTTGCATGGTCTGCAAAGATTGAATCCTACATTCGTGAATGTGATCTTGTCAGCGTGGGAGGCAATGCTACGATTGGACACATGATCAAGTGCAGAAGCTTTTCCCAGTCTGCACATTCATGTCCCAAGTTGACCTTCCGGCCAATTATCATCGGAATGGACTGCACAATCTCTGGCATGGTGAGCCCTGGAGCCAAGATTGGAGATGGTAGTAAGGTGGAGAAACTATCTGTTGTTGAAGAGGGAGCAATGGTACCACATGATGTCCTGGCCAAAGGAAACCCAGCATGTCATGCAGGCTCATTTGAGCACACAAAAACAGAGTACTGGGAAGAGTCCATGTTGGATGCTTGCAAGATTGTGTGGCCAATCCTTGAAGCATACCATTTCTTTGCACTGTCATATCTCATCCATATGGTACTCCACCGACTTTTGCCCTCCTGGCGATACGCTACCATCCTCCATTGGTTCTTGCTTGTTCCGGGCACTTCATTTTTGGCCATCCTAACAAGCATTCCTCTCAAATGGCTTTTGATTGGGAAACGTGATGCATCAGATGAATATGGAGGTTCTTTGTGGAGGCAAACAACCAACTGGGCTTGTGACTTCCACTTCCAAGCAGCTTCATGGACTCTTGTTCCCTTCTTTGGACAGTCCAGACTCTGGAACATCATACTTGTCCTCCATGGCCTGGATGTTGATATGCAATCTACCATCAGCCACCCATACACAATCTTCTACCCCTCCAAAGTAGATTTTGTGAAGATTCGGTGTTCTTTCATTCCCACCAGCACTCTTGACCTCAGCAAAAGAGCAGACTCCAAGATTGAAATCATCAACAGCAGTATTGGGTACAATTCCAACCTTCATTCAGGAGTCAAGATTATCAATTCCAAAATCCCACCAAGGTCCAATGTTTCGGGTAGTATCTACAATTTGAATCATTCGGACAACAATTCAGAGAAGCTCAGCTATTCTACCTTGCTTCTTCCAGAAATAGGACAGCAAGTGTTGAATATGGTCCTCTTCTGCAGCATTGTCCCTGCCTATGAAATTGGTCTTGCTGCCACAAAAAGCTCCTCCTTGACTGCTTCTGCGTGCGGTTTGGCGGTTGCATTCACACTACAACTCTTTATTTGGATTCTCTTGACCCAAGCAGCTGAGAAGGTTTTATTGAGTCTTCCACAAAATGGTCAGCAGATCTTCTTTGGTATCTACATCAACCATGTAAGACAATTTCGTGCTGGAAATTGGCTTGTAATGGTTCTCTATGGTACACCCATGTTTGCCTACTTTGCTCGATTCATGGGGGCTGAGGTGGATGGTGACCTCTGGTACTTTGGAAATGCTCTGTTTGAGTATGGTAAACTCCACTTCCAAGGGTGCACCATTGTTGACAGCTCTAGTCTGAATGGTCATTACATTGACGGGAGTGGGCTCACCATCAATGACACCTATGTGTCTGGAGTTATGCATCCCGGGTGCTTTGCTGTAGCTGGATCAGTCCTGTCTGGAAAGGAGCAGCATGGCCCTTGGAAGGTATTCTTGAGCCATGCTGGTGATGGCCCTGGTGACAAGGACTTATTAGATGTAGGAAGTGAGAGTACTGAGGAAAGTACAGATTATCTGGAACCTTGCAACTCAGAAGGAGAACTCTATCCACTGATCTGATGCCACTTCTGACATTCAGACGTGGATAACACCAGTAGCAAATAAAGCAGCAAGCTTGCCTACAAAATATTTTGAAGGTGGAGACAAAGTTATTTGGTTCCTTTGAAGAACTGGAATTGGTATCGATACCGGTACTGGTAGCAGTAGATGTACTGTAATTGGTTGAGTGGCCGTGGCGCCTGGATTTCAGTATAAAAATAAAAAAAATCCCGAAGTATTATTATTAGGCTGCACCTGAATGCACCACCCGCTGATCGGAGCCATAATGAACCGGTGTACCTCAGACGTACAAGGACGCCCACTTAGGAACCGGCCTAGTGCAAGCCCCCACCGGAGAAGTTTAAAAACTCCGGCGGAAGGTGCTTTGCAACTATCTAACTTCCCCAAGCTAGATTGCCTTCTATTTCTACGGGGAAAACAAACCCTCGGTACGAAGTTACCCTGTTGCATTGTTCTGCACGGTGTGTGCGTGCTCGTCTCTGAGTGCCTTGTCGACTACTGGCAGCCAATTGGGATCCAGGCTTTGATGTCGCCGGTACCCTTTGCCATATTTGCTCGTCAAGCGGGCGTTTGAAGAAGAAATCAACCAGCGACTCTGGAATCAAATTTGCCTTCTCATAAATGAGCTCCACCTCCCTATGGAGCTGCTCATGTTTCTTCTTCCATTGTTCTTCCTTGTCTCTGCCGATATGATATCCCTGTCTTCAGAGGCATCGACACACATTGAAAGCATCAGACCCTCAAGTGAAACTGTGGGACTTCTTGCATCCTCTTTCTGGTGATACACCCTTGTTGGTTTTCCATTATACTTCCCTGGCCTTTACATGCCATTTGGGCCTCCTTCAATTCGGACTCATTGCACTGGTTCGGATCAATTGGGCTGCAACAAACACGACTGAGGAGTTGATCCATTTCTTTGAGCGCTGCTTCTCTGGCTTTGTTGCCCCACACTTTCAGACCTTTGGGTAGTAAGTGCTGTTGAGCTAGGCTGCTCTCATCCTGGACTGATGCCTTGGCACTCCTGTGATTCAAGTAGTCCATGAATAATGCCAAGTGCTTGCTTGTCTCGGTCTCATAAAGTAGTGGCCGCTTCGCTTCATCGTCTTGGACGAAGACAATAGATTCTTGTTCCAGTACTCAAGTAGTGGACTGGACCTCGCTGAAACCCTTCCTCAGGTACAGTGGCAGTCAGGCAGTTCAGAGAGCCTTGTCGTGCCTCAAGAGTATCCAACACCTCCAGTAGGCACCAAACCAAGGACTTGGCCCTGTCAGTCAGACAGGAGGGCCAGCAGAGCTCTCTGCTGGGCTCACCTCAGGAGCTGGGGGCCTTCGTTATTCGATCGTGCAGTGGCAGTCTGGGAACAGTACTATCTGCTACCTCCTACTGCTTCTCCCCGGCCTCAACAGGATAGGAATCAACTCCTGCGGTATCAAAGGGGCTACAAGCTAATCAGGATCGGTCTCAATCTTTCGTACTATTTTCTTAACTATGATGGAAAGGATGATCCTTTCTTGCTGCTTTGGCTGAAGATAAGCTAGCTGTGGGTGCTGGAGCTGTAGGCCAGCATAGCTGTTGGAGCTATCTCTGACGGGATCCAGAGCTCTCGCTCCTAAAAGTTATCGCTCCCCACGAGTGCGTATGGTCGTGGGTATGCTACGGAGTTAATATTCAAGCTGTGGCTGATCACCATTCCCGGTTCATATTCTTTGCCTATGCTTTCTAGAATAGGCCCACAATTTATAAAGCTGTAAAGCTGAATTGTAAGCTGTATCCCGTCGCATGGTAGAAAGGACGATCCTTTCTTGCTGCTTTGCTGGAGATAAGCCAGCTGCGGGTGCTGGAGCTGTAGGCCAGCATAGCTGTTGGAGCTATCTCTGACGGGATCCAGAGCTCTCGTGCAATACACGGCTCTTAGCCTTATTCGCGACTCGATCCTAGATAGGGTTTGAGTTCGACTCATGACTGAGTCTCTCGTGAATAAGTGGTCATGAGCAGGGGGGGCGGTTCTTTTTTTTTTTTTCCAATGACCGCGCTAGTCATACTAGGTTGATGATGAAACATCGCTCTAGATATTTAGCCAGCGTGGAGTATTCCACGCTACTAGATCCAGGCTAGACAAACTTCCACGCGTTCCGTTTTAGGATCGTGGAGAACGTAGGATTACTACCGCAACCTACTCTTACACACTTTATAGTCTCCGCGGGAAGCCAGATCTACGATCCCTTGATGTATGATCTCTCTCTCGTTGATTAGTTTTCATAGCTTTCTAATCCTCTCATAACTTTCATTCTCTCAAACTCAAAACACTCGAAAGATCTTTACACTAGCTTTTTAGCGTATGCATTTTGTTAACAAAACACAATAGCTTTCAGCTACCCTCAACCTATTCCTTCACCATGAAGATGGCTCAGGAAACATGCGTTCCGCAACTTCGAGAAACAGTTGCGTGACAAACCATTCTTCCTCTTCGACAATGACGAAGAAAAGAGATCGACGATACTCGTACAACCACTTGCAAATTCGCAACCATGTTGCCAAGCGCAAATCAGAAGACTCTGACAAGAGGACAACTCCTCTATCAATTTAATCACTTGGATGGAGAATCTCTATCTGAGATTAGGCCAGGATGATGATTAACGGAACCATGTTCCGATTTCTCATACCAAAGTGATGAAGATATCTCACTAACTAGTAAACAAGAATTGTTTGCAACTGATGAACTCTACGGCAAATTAGATGATTGCCAGAAGCTGCTAAACTAGACTCTGATGATCTATTTAGCATCGTTAACCTCGTCCGTGGCCAACCACCTCGTAAACGTCGCAAGACAGAGACCTCAAACCCATCGTCTATGTTAGATTTAACAAGCGAGAAAAGGGAAACCAAACCCGTTACACTCCGTTGCTTACTGATACAGGAGCATCCGGAACCTTGATTGCTCAACCTCATGCTAAGAAATTACGCATGAAGATCTTGGGGGCGTCCAAACAATGTGGACTACCCCTGCAGGAGAATAAACACCAGCACGAAGTGCAAAGGTGCATTATGATCCTGAATTCCACGAAGATAGAATTATCGAGTGGGATTTACACGTCACCAAGAGCTTGGGGCGTATGACATGATCATAGGTCGAGACATTCTCTCTGATCTAGGATTCAAGTTCGATTTCACTACCATGTCAGTGGAATGGGACGGCGCATCTATTCCTATGAAAGACAGCGACACCAATGAAGAAGAGAACTTCTTCATTCCTGATCCTACCGCTGTTGATGACAGTGCAGATCGTCTCAAGAAGATTCTTGATGCGAAATACGAACAAGCTGACTTAAGGCAGGTTTGCCAAAGTCAAGATCAGTTAAACACGGAAGAGAAGAACAGCTTCATTCCTTACTGATGAAGTACTCTGACCTATTCGATGTACTTAGGAAAGTGGCAGATGGACGACTCGAAGTAGAACTTCTCCCTGATGCTAAACCCTATCATCCAGGGCTTACCTATTCCACGGGTCCATACCAACACTCTTAAGATGGAGGTTGAACGTCTCTGCGAGGCAGGGTACTCAAGAAAGTAAACCGTTCGAGTGGGCGGCACCAACTTTCACATTCCCAAGAAAGATGGATCTGTACGATTCATCTCTGATTTCCGGAAACTGAACAAAAGGATTAAGCGGAAGCCTTATCTATCCCAAAAATACAGGACATGCTCTTGAATCTAGATGGATTCAAGTACGCTACTAGTCTAGACCTGAACATGGATACTATCACATTGAGCTGTCACCTCACTCGAAAAGCAACTCTGTACCATCGTACTCCCGTGGGGAAAATACGAGTACCAGAGGTTGCCAATGGGCCTATGTAATAGTCCCGACATCTTCCAAGAGAAGATGGGAACACTAATGCACGACCTAGAATACGTCCGTGCATACATTGATGATCTACTCATCCTAACTAACGGCGATCTAGCAGATCACGTTGAAAAGTTGGATGAAGTTCTCCGAAGGCTTCGAGAAGCCGGACTAAGATCAATGCTACCAAGTCCTTCTTCGCAAGAGGAGAACTTGAATACCTAGGTTACTGGATTACTCGAGAAGGGATCCAACCCATAACCAAGAAAATAGACGCGATCCAGAATATCGCTCCTCCTACCAACAGAAAAGAACTCCGTAGATTCATTGGACTAGTAAACTACTATCGAGACATGTGATTAGACGATCACATGTACTGGCCCCACTGGCTTCGTTGACTTCCAAAACAACGAAGTGGAAATGGGAAGCGAACACGACAAGGCCTTTAGCCAGATGAAAGAAGATCATCAGCAAAGAAAACCTTGCTCGCCTACCCTGACTTCAACGATACATTCGTTATCCACAACGGATGCGAGTGATACTCAACTAGGTGCCGTAATTTCCCAGAAGGGAAAACCTATCGCGTTCTACAGTAGGAAGCTCAACCCTGCTCAGACACGTTACACAGTTACCGAGAAGGAACTTCTCAGTATTGTAGAAACTCTCAAAGAGTTCCGTAACATTCTTCTAGGACAGAAGATCGTTGTACATACGGACCACAAGAATCTTACATGTAAGACTTCAATACCGATCGCGTAATGCGATGGCGCTTATTCTGGAAGAATACGGCCCTGAACTACGGTACATCAAGGGCGAACAGAACATCGTCGCTGATGCGTTGTCGAGACTTAACATCTCCAACAACGACGGTTCTTCAGAACAAATGGACGCCAGCGAGATCGCTGAGCTCATGGCTGCAGACGAAGAGGACTTCCCTAGCGAGTTCCCTCTCTCGTTCCCCGAGATCGAACATCGTCAGAAAGACGACAACGATATCAAGAAACTCCTCAGGGACAAGCCAAACGACTACAAGAAGCAATCTTTCCCCAGAGGGGATAAGTCTTACGACTTAGTAGTTAAGGACGATAAAGATCGTCGTACCTAAACTATGCAGAAGAAGCTAGTTGAATGGTACCATGGTGTGCTGATGCATCC